ATGATTCTGGAGGATATAATTGATTTTAAAATCTGTGATGTTACCACCGATGATGGTTCATGGAATTTCCCAGATTCTCTTAATGTTAATTAGAATATCCAAGAAATTGTTATAAATTCAGAGGTTGTAATTTCAAAAACAAATGACAGGCTAGTTTGGACTTGTACAAATAGTGGAAATTTCACAGTTGGATCAACTTGGAATCTCATCCGATCACAGGGTACTCAAGTACATTAGTCAATGAATGTTTGGAATTCAGGTATCCCCACCAAGATCTCCATGTTTATGTGGCACTTTCTTAATAAAGCAATCCCAGTGGACATGGCTATCAAACAAAAATGGATAATGCTAGCCTCTAAATGTAGGTGTTGCAAAGATGCTAATGAAGAATCATTTGATCACCTTTTTTCAAATGGAATCTTAGCTACAAAATGCTAGAATTTTTTTGCAGGAAAATTTGGCATTCCTATTCACTCCACACAACACATCAGAGATCGTATCCTAGATTGGTGGAGTATTTGCAACACTAACTCCCATCACAACCAAGTTCTTAGGGTGGCTGCCTTCGGTGATCATTTGGGAAATCTGGGTGAAAAGATGTAGAAGAATCTAAGATGGCAAGTCTATACCTGCAAGCTAGGTAATCCAATGTATCATAAACTGGTTGGTTGAAATTGATAAAGTTATTTCATTACCCAATACTGAAGATGTAAATGATTGGTGAAGAATTGGTATCCCAATCCCCCCCAAGCCTATCAAACCAAAATTGTACAAATGGGTAACGTGGCAAGTTCTTGCACATGGAAAGGTAAACTAAATACTAGTAGGGCTTGTCGAGGAAACCCAAGTATAGGAAGTGGGGGAGGTCTGATTCGTGATGAGGAAGGCAGATTTATCAAAGCTTTTGCAAGCCCTTATGGTTTATGCACCTCCCTTCAAGCATAAATAAAGGCGCTTCGGGATGGAGTCAGGACTTGCATTAATCATGGTTATCTTAATATCGAGATTGAATGTGATAACTCTACAGTGGTAAGCCTTTTCAATTCATCCGTTATCCCATGGAGTATTCATTACTATGTAGTAGAAATTAAAAGGCTTCTTGACTTCTGCAACTTCTCTTTAAAACATGTGTACCGTGAAGTGAATAGACCACCAGATTGCTTAGCTAAAATGGGCGGGTTGCTGGAAGGATTCACCAGTTTCAATGCCATTTCACATACTCCAAATCAGGTAAGAAAGTTAATTTTTGAAGATCTTATAAGTCTACCCAATTTAAGAATTAGATAATCTTATTTGTATTTTCCTTTTGGGATGGGCTGAGAGACTTAGGTCGAGAGATTTGTATATTGGATTTGGGGCAAGGCGGGCTATGTCCTCTCCTGGAATAAAGTTTGGGGTCAAAAGTCSTCTTCAGTAAGCAAATTTGGAGACTATTAAGTAACCTTGAATGCCTCTAAGTCGTGTCATCAAAGGAAAATATTTCCACACATCTAGCTTATTCGGGGCAAAGTAAAAAAAGTTCAACCTGGTGGGGGCAAGTACAGACCATTATACCAGATCTCAAGTCAAACATGACCTGATTGATAAAGGATGGCACAAAATAACATTTCTTCTATGACCGTGGATTCCAACTACAGCGGGGGGTGTACGGTGTGTACCCACACCAAATCCGGATGAGCATCAGTCCGACCACAGAATGAAAGTTGCTGACCTACTAAATAGTGATGGTTCCTGGAACCGGCAATAATAAGGAACAGTCTCGCACCTTCCTCTCTCTCTCATGTGCTCGAATTACACCCCCAATCCTGAACTTGATTCTGATCTCATCATATATATGAAGTCTCCAAAAGGGACACTCGTGGTGTCATCAGTTTACAGCAGGCACTTAATGGAATCCCCATCATCGGGCTCAACAGCCTTTCTCAATTGGAAATTCTTCTGGAAACAAAATATCCCTCCCCAAATTCAAACCTTTTATCTTGAAACTGCTATGGGATGGAATTCCTTCCAAAGGCAAATGTGCAGCATGGCTCCCACCGGAAGAACAGATCTGTTCGTTTTTCAAGCAAAGCCGAGAGTCTGTTCACCATCTATTTTTCACTTGTTCATATGCCTGTGCAGTTTGGATCTCCTTAAACAGTGCAAATATATATTTATATATAGCCAGTTTTCACTCATCACCGAAACCTCAACATAACAACACAGGTGCAGCACAGTAGCAATTCTTTGACTAATAAACTGCAGGTTGACTGTTCTTTTGATCCCACAACAGGTTACGCAGGACGATCTTTCATCTTTCAACGAACCACGGGAGAAACCATCGCTGAAGGACGTCCTTGCTGAACTGCATCAAGTTATGAAGCAGAGGTAAAAGCTCTTTTAGCTGGTTTCAAAACAGTTTCTACATCATCATGTCAAGATCTTTTTGTTTATAGTGACTCAGAAAAACTGATGAAGCTTTTAGGAAGCAAAGAAAAACCTTCTGAATGGACGGAGCAGCTGCACTGGCCAAAACTCACATCTCTCATCAATCTTTTTGCTAATATGATATTTTGTTCATGTAAGTAGACTTAGCAACAAAGCTGCCCACGTACTTGCATATACTGTATGCAAATGCCCACGTATTTGCATATATTTTGTTGCCCACGTACTTAGCAACAAAGCGCCTACTGTACAGATATTTACCATGATCAATGAAGCTGCTGCTGCTTCTTTTTGCAAAAAAATATATATCATGTCAATGCTAAGAAAAAGCAATTGGGAGTTCAAATTTCCTCCTTACACTCGCAGCATTTGCAGCAGTATAGGGGTGTAAATGGATTGAATTCGAATCAAATCAAATTAGACAATATCTAATTTGAATCCAATTAAAAAATTTGATATCCGAATTTGAATTCGATTAAATATTCGAATATTTGATTTAGTTTGAATTTGGCCAATTAATTATTTTAGATAATTAATAAATATATAAAGTAAATATTTTATTTACATAAAATATATAAAGTATATAAATTATTTATAGATTTTAATTATTATATATATATATAAATTATATAAAACATTTAAATATTATATTATATATATATATATATATGTATTAAATAATCTGTCGAACTTAGATATTTATCAAATCAAATAAAGTCATATTTGAATTCGAGTCTGATACTATTCGATATGAATAGAATATCTGAATCCGATTGACTAAATATTCAAATTATCCAAATTCGATTTGATTATACCAAATCTTGAATTCAAAATTAAATTTTCGAATACCGTTAACACCCTACAGCCACCGCATGGAAATTTCTCACGTGCGGCTACAAGTGCTGTGAGGTGGGAGTGAGGACCATTATGTAAGCAAATTTATTTCTTTTCTGGTTGTGTGCTAGCGTTTTGGATCAAATTGATTGAAACCAGCCAATTTTAAGGAGCTCTATTAACAAGTCTTCCATCCATGGTCATAGACTCGTAGTAGCTGGATTGGACTCTCATACTAGTGAGTTGTGAATGCCAGTAGACTTTCCTTGTGGGTTATGCGGACTGTCAAAAAACAATTGGGAACGGCACAGATTTTCCTCGTTTTTTCTGTCTTTAGCGGAAGTCAGAGCTCAGAACTTCATCGGCAATTGCCTAAAAAGTGTCACAGTTAGCAGCCAGAAGTAAAACTGACCTCCTATGCACATCTTCCTAGTTATAATGTTATATGTTATCATGCGCATACTTTATTATGTGTGAACATTTTCCAAGGCATACAATTGAACTAGTAGCTAGCTGTGGACTGTGGTTCACGAATTTGTATTTTGGCTAGGGAAAGTTCTTACAAATTATCTTTTCCTCAACTTTGTGTTTCTTTCTTATTTTCTAAGCTACCTGGCAAGTGGCAACTACAAATTCACGTTTGATTAATAATTCATGGTTGCAGCTAATAGCCTAATACTCTCGAGCTCCAATCCGTTTATTGGATTGGGAGGGATGAATGACGCGCATTACAGAGGTTTATGCTCTTGCCAGTATACCTCATTGACCATATGTATCTTAAGGTTAACTTAAGGGTCACTGATACGCATAATTTTAGGGGATTTATGAGATTTCAGCTTTTTTATATGTTAAAAAGGTAATGTGATAAGAACCCTCTCATTAGATAATGCCAAAAAGATTTAAGGAAAAAAATAAAAATAAAAAAACCAAAAAAATGTTGTGTTGGTCAACACAAACCCTCAAACTCAAGTCAATACACAAATCTTGCGTATTAAATAATATGGATATTTTGAAGCTTGAAACATGATTCCATGTAATGTAGTCCTCGTACTTGGTTGTGGTGCTCTCGGCTCTCCAAATAATTCCAATTTCATCCAAAAGGAAAGCCACATAAAAGTTATTTCTTCTGGATTTTGGATTGGAAGCTGTAAATATATCTGTATTGGCATGATTTGCGGCTTAACTTAGGGTTAATGAACTACACCAGTAAAGGGGTACCTATTGGCTATTGCTATTGGCTATCCAAATTGCACATCAGTTGCCAGAGCCCAGAACCAATCCTATAGTCCTATTGATTGCGCGGGCATCTCTCCATGCTCTATAATCCATTCCATTTCCAGCCACAGAACGTAGCATGAATGTATACGAAAGGCACCTTCCGTTCCGTCTTCAGAATTCTTTCTATGCTATTGGTTTTCTAACCATGGGATGAGGCCCGCCCCTGTGAGGCCTGATCTGAAGCTTAGAAGAGGGAGGTGAGGTGGGTGAACCCTTTTGGTCCCAATATCTTGGCTACGATGTGTAATGACAATTTGCTTTAAATCAACGATCAATGGCCTTTTCAGTCTTGTTCCTCTCAAGTCTCAACAACCTATTTGCATAAGTTCGTGAATGCAAATGGAGAATATGGCAGACAGAATGACAGATTGCAAAATTCTTTCGATTATCCAGAGGTCAGTGCAAAATAACTTTTAGACCTCCAAAACCACCCTCTTGCATAATGGTGTTCAAAACAATTGTAGTTTAAGCAAACAAACCAGTCTAAATATTTGAAATATTTGAAGTGAGCCGAATGGACAAAAAGGTGTAAATCTTCCTCTTATAATTTAAGTGCAACAGATATAATCAAAATGAAGTAAATAAAACATATGTTACTACATACAGAAATATGATGGGATCTTCCTGTTGCTTCTCTTTCTGTATGATCATAAAATATGAGGACGATCTGAAATGATGCTAACCTGAACCTGAGTCTGTTTCTTTGGTTGCTGCCTCTTCCTGTAGCTTCTTTGTCCAGTACTCATCAAGTGGTGGTCCAAATATGGCCTTACCAGAGACAACTCCAATTCTACATAATTCAAAATGCCAGTCAAACGGTCTAGAATGAATTTCTTTACTTTTTTAAACTAAATCAAGCACTTGAGAAAAAAAAAAAAAAAGTGAAACTATTAGCACCTTAACTATTTGATTCTTAGTCCCTCACTTGAATTTGATTTGTAAGACTTTCTACAAAACACAATGCAATGCTAATTCTCCAATAAAGACCTCTTGCACTAAAGATGGTGAATATAACTTTCCACATATGTGCTCACATGACATTAAAGTTTGCTTTTCAACTAAGGTGCCCTTTGACAATGTATAGGCAATGGGACTATAAAGTTGCTCAAGATAGATGAAAGCTACATTGTTTTGTTGGATCCATGTTAAAAAATTTCATCATCTAAGCCTTGTCTCAGTTAAATGTGGTCAGCTACATGAAGCCTGCTCTGCTAGCCCCTTCAACCCATGTCCTCTTTAGTCTGCACCTAGCTCTTCTAGCCCCTTCAACTTGTAGATCACTTCTTACTGGTACTGTTAGATTGTATTTTTTTTGCAGGTTCTCAACCATCTTAGTCTAATTTCCCTCATTTTAACCTATTGGAGCATCTCTCTCTAGGTCTGGACAGCTGCCACAGTGCAGAAAATAATCAGGTCAATCAGCCCCCCCCCCATCCCACCTATTTCTTTCTTCCACATGGCGGAAACATGTGGTCAATCTGAACTGTCCATTAGATAGGAGAATTCTGGATTGGATAGTACTTATTCTCCGAGCAATAATTTTTTATGGATATTCTCTGAGCAATATTAGCAGTCTAAAACTTCCATTTTTCAATGTGAAAATCCCACAGGGGCTTGTTGCAAACATGTTGCATGTTGCAACAATTTTGAGGCTGAAAATTTTCACCATGAAAAGATGGTGGTGGGCCATCAAAGGAAATAGATTGTGACAAATAGAACACATAGAGTCCTATTAGGCCCCAACCATGTCACTATGTGGAAGATTCTTGAGTTGTAGAACAAGATGACATGCACTATGATCTTCTTAGGGAGATGATGAAAAAAATTTTATCTACATTGCATGTATAAAAAAATTATCAACCAAAAAAAGAAGCACTCTGCTGAGCTCCATGTGTATGGATAGCAACAAACACGCCATGCTTGTAATTCCTCTTTGTGGAAAATTGATTTCAAATATCATTGCATTTTTCTCACCTCAGATGAGCCATATGATAGAAAATGGAAGAACAATTCAGAATTTTACCCCTCTTGCTAAGTCCTTCCACATGCCAAGTTGCCAATCAGAGAAGGCCTCCACAAGAAATTTGGGAACCACTATTGACTCTAAAATCTCCAAGCAGGATACACAAACATTCATAATTTATAATCAAGGAATTGGCCAAGTCATTCATTTCTTGATGTAACATGCAACTTGTGTTTAGAGGGATTTCTCGTTTTCTAATGAATTGTTCTTTCATCAAGCACTTGCCTAGTGATTACATCTAAACTGTCAAAGCAACCTTTCAGGGCGGTAAGGAACCAAAAATCTACTGGCAAGAATAAACATCCCTTGACAGGGTACATGGTCTTCTAAAGAAAGGCATTCACCAAAAACATCCTTGATGGATCCCATGACCAACTCCAGCACCAATTTTCGTGATTAGTAGGTCATTTCATAACTTCAGCAGAAAAGAAGCCCTCAATCAGACTGGCAAATATAATGTTCTATTTCTGTTCCAAAACGGTAATTTCAGACTTCTGAAAAGCTTTTATATAACATCTTATGTCAACCTGAAGGTTAGAAGCATCAGAACAAATTGCTCCATAAGACATACAGTCAACAAAATCAAGGTGCATAACCTGAATGCTGTATATCTCATTGTAAAGCTATCTTACAAAACATTATGTACTGGAAAAGGAGTTCTCTGATGCATGAAACCAACTAAGAACTTAAAAAGGTGGTACATTGGAAAGAACAAGAGTTGCCTTCCCTGTGAACCAACTAAGAAATTACAGTGTCAGCTGTCAAATTGGAAAGCCAAGTCCCTCCTACTATCTAACCATGAATTGGGAGATCATTACTAAAAAAAAAAATGAAAGAAAGCCACAAACTGCAAGCCTCTATCCACTTCAACTTCCAAATCCATTCTTCAAATAAATATATAAAAATAAACAGTAAGGAATACATGAACTCAGTCTTATAGAACCCTGTACCAGAAATGATCGATCTGTAAAATGGAAATGTTAATTAGCAAAGACAGCTCTCATGCAATATGACTGGCACCAATAGAGATTTCTAGATGAAGAAAATGACTTTGCCAATCATCAATGCAATTTCAGACAGAACTTCACATTGATCCTACAAATATCCCTTGGAGTACCAGGTTTAGGAACCAGACTCCCCAAAATCTCAATATTTTTCAGGAACTCTATATTTAACAAAGCATATTGCAAAAGCTAATAGTTTTTACGCTCAGAAAAACCACAAGTTATTGGAACTTGGAAAGAGCCTAGGGGAAGCCATCTGGCTCTGGTAAGTGAAAGCTAATGGAGCCTGGATTTACTACAACATATATATAAGAGCTGATTTCTGTTTTTCTCTAACTGCCTTATAATAAACATTTATCTTTCCTGGTAATTGACCTTGTTTCTCCCATATTTATTTGAACCCAGGCATATGCTTCTTCATTCTTCCTGTCACGGTCTTCCACCTCGCAAACAAGGCATGTTCCCTATTATGATTCCATCTTCTCATTCTTATCCATTAGAAGCTTAGGTTTTAATTTTCATAGAAAGCCTAATCTAATTAATACGAAACCATTTCATGAGAAATACCTCAGGATAAAGGAAGAAAAAAGGAAATAACCAGCCATGGTGGGAAGAAAAAAAACAATGGAGAAGGAAATGATTAAAGTGATTTCTAGATAAACTTGGCTTCAAAAAAAATTCTAGAAAAACATGATGAACGGAAATTCCAATAAAATTTCTATTACAGCTAAGTAGCAAAAGAAGAGGGCATGCGTCTTACACGACTGCTCCCAACACCATCGGCGCCGATAGAAACCTTCTCCTGCTGAACATTTTCAATCTTCGAATTCTTCTTTCATTCACATAGAAAAGAGAGAGATGTTACAGTCGGAGCTGTACCGATTGCCCTTGGTCGACTTCGGGCTGCATCTCTCAAACTTTGATGAGTGATGACGATGAAATGGTAAACTCAGACGCAGTGCTCTGGCCCAGTAAGTTTTGATTGGTCTCAGGCTCATTATCAGCCCATGGGCCGATACCGGCTCTGGACTAGTAAGCTGGTCCACGATTTCAATAGGATAGGAGCCATTTAGGCCCTTAGAAAATTCGATAATTTACATGGTCTTTGGAAGAGTGGGCGTGTTTTTGGGACCGATTTTTAAGAAAAAACGCCTATTCTTCTAAGACCCATTTTTTACAAAAAAAACATTTCTGTCACATACAATACTATGCTGTTTGGTGAGATGATTTTTCATCACTATTTTTCATGTATGTGCTGACAGGTAAGCACCACATAGGATACATATCAGTGAATCGTTGGGGGAAACGGTTCACTGATGCATGAAACGCCAATTGGTGGGGTCCCGATTTTTCAGGTATGTCCGAGTTTTTAATAATCGACTGAACCAAACAATGAAATACATGGGCGTTTGTTGAAACGCCTATATGGATCTGACATGGCACCATTTTTTTGAAAAATGACCACGATTCCAAACATCCCCTTAATCTACTAAAAGAATTTTAAGGCCCTATTCGGTACCTCTCATCTCTTAACGATGAAGTGGTTTTGTACCACTTTCAGCGCTAAGAAGGCATTTGGTGGCTTTTAACACTGAAGTCTAATTATAGCTAAAGTAGAATGACTCAGGCCATTATTTTAATAGATTTTACTCATATTGCCCCTCTAATGCTCAATATTTTATTTTCCCCATAATATTATTATAATGTAATATATACATATAATATTATAATATACCATAATATTCATATTATATTATTATTATAATAATAGTTCATTAACTATATTATTCATTATCGTCTTATAGTGTTATTAATAATTACTTATATTAATTATTATAACTAATTATTTAGAATATTATTTACCAATTATAATATTATAATGAAACAAATAATTATTTATACTAAATAGTATTATAAATTATGAATATTCATAATACTAATATTATAATATAATCATATAATATTACTAACATTATAAATTAATGATTAATATTATAATATTCATTATAATATGTTATAGTAATATTCTAATAGAAATTAATTAATTACAATATTCATTATCACCATACAGTTTTATTAATTATTAATTATTAATATTATTTAATTAATTAATAATAATTCATAATTAAACAATAATTAATTATTAATAATAGTTATTAATTAATCATAATGATAATTAATTATTATTACTTATTACTAATTAATTAATTATTATTCATAAAAATATTAATTATTAAAAATATGTATTATTTAATCATAAAACTAAATAATTATTGATTAATTAATAATTAGTGATGAATAATTATTGAATTAATTATTAATTGATTATGAATTATGAATTATTAATATTAAGTATTTTAACATCCAGCAGTATCTCCTTTTTTTTTTTGTGTGTACATGGTGAATTTGTTGAAATCCTTCCAACCAAAATCGGAAAGAATTCAAATAACTGGAGAATTGGAGGACTGAGCAATTCAACTCTGCCCCCGCCAAGGCGTCAACACAAAATACAACTTTTTTTTGGATGATTTAACTTAAAAATAAATCATTGAGAGTCTAATACATCCAACAACCAAACAGGTTGATCATCTAACCATATATAGAATCAGTCAAAGGACTTGACTTTTCTATTTGTAAAAAGTACATTGTAATTCATCTCATAATTCTAAATTTCACTACAAACTTACAACAATTCAAAAAATATCTCCCCACCTACAACACCAATAGCTACTCGTGTATTGACATCAATTCTAAGCTGATGACACCTACCCCAACTGTACAGTGGAGGAAAGATTTGTTGGGGTTGACAAGTGTACACCCCATTGAACAAGAGGCAGTGCAGTATTTGGTTTGATAAAAATAAAAGAGAAACAGAAACTTGAGGGGAAGTTCCTACCAAACCAAATACAACATAAAGTAACCACATGCAGCCAAACGTTAAAGGCTTGAAGGGAAGTCCACACCCATTCCCTAAGGCTGTGTTTAGTTTAAAAGAAAAGGTAGGGAAAGGAAGGGAAAGACATGAAAACTAATACAAGGGTTATAAAGGTTTTCCTACCTTTCTCTTCCTTTCCTTACATACATAGGTTATGTTTGGTTTGAAGGAAAAAGAAGGAAAAGACGGGAAAAGTGATGTTGGGAGAGGGCTTTGGTAGCTGATCATGGATAAGTAATCTTGTTCTTGTTCTAAACCATCTGCTTCTGCTCACAGCTCACTCGATAAGTCGATAGGACGTGGAGCACAACACGCAATGGATAAGTGCTTTATATGGATGTCTCCACTAGTATCGCCTTATCGTGTATACTTTATTTTCTTCTGCAGCTTTGTTCATTTAAGCCAATGGGCGTCGTACGTGGATATGTGTACAGCCAACCAAATGTTCGATTCTATCGTTGAAGCAAGAAAGAAAGAAAGGACTACTCTCAAAAAACCGGTGTGCTGTAATCTGTAAGGATCACATCACTGATTATATGAATGGTCCAACTCCATCACGGATGACGGATGTATATAAAATAGAGCCACTGATATCGTCTGTACTTTTTGAATGTCTTTTGTTCTAGAAGGCCTTCGCCGCTTGGTCCACAATTCCACATTAGAAAATTTCACCATTAGAAAATCAATCCATATCCATCCAGCAATGCGGAAAAAGAGAAGATAAAGAAAAACGCAGAGGGCGGGCTAGGACTCACACTGGGTAGAACAATTTTGAAGAGAATGTTTGGTACAACAAAATTTATGAGATTGTAAACACCGACAAAAAGTAAGGATTTGGGGCTCAATCTCCCCAGACCGGCATCAACTAACACCCACTCTGCATTTATTTATTCATGGTGAATGTTGGAATATTGCTCTCTGTCTGGACGCTCAATTGTGATTAAATCTCAAAAATGCTGCTGCTAAACCAAACCTACCCATACCATAAAATGAATCAAATAATTTATCTTCCAGATGATTTAACATATCAACCCCATATCTCTACCTCTCACCAGGCTCAGTTAATGGGAAAGGAAAAAAGAAATATCTAGCTCTTGTCTATTGGCTATTGCTGTCTAATTTATTTCTTTTCCAACGAACGGTTGCCTGTTTCAAGATTTCTGCTCCGCTATGGCGAGTTTGGTGACCGCATCATGGATCATAACTCCTTGTTATTCGTACTTGAGAGCTGAGAAAATCTTTAACAGAGTGGAATTTTTTTTAACAGAGAGCCAAATTAGCTCAAATTAATAAATAATAGTTAACAAAGGAAACCCATGAGTGATAAGTATACCTTAAACCTCATTTTTTTTAAGCTCCCTGAATCTACCAAATGCTCTTTCGTTTTTTCAGGTACTAATCCATGAGGAAGTTGACTCACCAGAGATCCTTCCAAAGACCAAAGAAACATCCAGGCAACTTTTGTTGTTGTAAAAAGTAAAATCAACAAGCAACAGCTTTTCTCGTTCTAGGTGGAAAAAAAGAAGCAGAAAAACAATCCACGGGAATCTATTCGAGAAGAACACGCACAACTTAGGAAGCAAATTCAATCACGCATGAATATGGTAAAGGACACCTATTAATTGAATTCTTAGGTTATAATTCTTTATTTATAAGCTGGAATAGAAATATAGTCAATGAGGGAACAAAATTCATGGCTGCTTGTCTTGTGTATAGATATAATCAGTATGAGCATCGGCAAGAGCCCTCCTTATCGCGCACTCCTCCTCCCCAACTCCGTCACAGCTTTCAACTGAATCAAGACCCTGAACAACAGAGCAGAACACCCAGACATCAAGAAGCATCCATTCAGATGGGATAAAGACAGAACAGAACAGAAGTCAGATAATAGAAAAAGAGAAAGATGAACGTACCGCCGGTTGGGTTTTGGAAGGAGAGTGGGTAGGAAGGGAAGGCTCCGGCCTGGCGGCGTGAGTCAGAGAGACGAAGAGGAGGAGGGCTACTGCGAAAAGGGCGGTAGCTTTCGACATGTTGGGATTGAATGTATTGCAATTTGCAAGTTGGAGGGGTTTCTTAAGTAAGTCAAGAGTCACGAGAAGCACAGATGAAATTTATATAGATGAGAGGAGGATAGGAGAGAAACGGAAATGAAGAGTGTTGTCAAGTGTGTGAGGTGTGAACAACTGGAATATGAAATATGAAATGAAGCCTAAATTGCTGCTAGGCAATAAATTATAGATTGAGAATCAAAGTAGTAAATATGGCAAGGAAATAAATTGCTAATTGAAAGGCGACCAAAGTTTTTTTAAAAGGAAAATTACTTAAACCAACCGTTGGTTAATATTCCTCTTTTTTTACAGGGGATTATTTTACATAATTCACAATCACATGGGAATCTGGGGTGGGGACAGAACTAAGCGACCATACCACGGGGGAGGGGTGAGGAGCTGAGGATTGATAGAGAACAGGGTGACGTGAATAATTTGGATATACTCCCAGTATAGGGCTTCCATAGTCATTGCAGCAGCTGTGCATTGAAAACATGTTTCTTATGGCGAGATGTCCAAATTAGGATCTATTCATCACAGAATGTTTTTTACATTAGTTAGAAACATACAAATATGAGAAATATTTTCAATGTATGATTTAAAGCATATTATAAAACTGGTGTAAAGAATGCTCTATGAAGAACAGATCCGGAGTTGAGATGTCCCCAAATCCCAATTATTGGGACCCTGTCTGTGTTGAGACCAGATTGAAACTCGGACATGAGGGCTACTGGTCATATTACCAAGAAGTAGGTTTGATTAATGCCTCCTGTTCTAGAGGGTCACTGGTTGACCATTGCAATTAGTTGGTCAACCGGTGACCCTCTACATCTAGAATATGCAAAGCCGTCCTCTCCCTTAATTTTTTTAATGAAAATATTAAAATCTTGACTATGCCTTTCTTACCTTTAATAAAATACATTTTTTATATATAAAATTAACATTATCTTTTTTCATGAATAAGAATGGGATCTTCAAATTTTTAAAGCATTTGTCGTAGTCAAGGAAATTAACTTAAAGGGTGCATGTGCACATTTATTTGAAATGTGAAGAAAGTTTTTGATTGGTGCAATGGGAGACTTAAGTAATTGTCAAAAATTCCAGGAGAGATTTAAGTAATTTCCCATTTTTAAGATTGCAAATTGTGATTTTCAAAAATCTTCGTTTATCTTTGTTCACGAGGGGTTTGTCTTGGGAATTACTCTTTAACTCCCACTTGGGCTTTCAAACAAATACAAAGACGTACCTTGGGGTTGGGGATTATTTATTTGTTGAATTACTCTCCCATAAGTCCCATTGTAACTTGGAGACGTCTCCACAACCGCAAATTCGGTTATGTTTCAATAATCAGGCTGCTAATTTTGACATTTAAAATTCCATTTTGTTCCTTTTTGTCAATTTCTTACAATAGTATATTTAAATGAATACAACTTTGTTTATATTTGTTTGAAGGGAGAACATTTTATGAATGTTAAGATGTAAATATAAAAAAAAAAAAAAAACTTTATTGACTTTGGTAGGGCATTTGGTAAGATTTCTATCTATTTTTGTCTTAATTCTCTCTTTTTAATTAACCAATTATAGGGGTCATTTTAATTAACCAACCCTAACTTTTAATGGCATTTTTTTTACTTTGTTTCCATGGAGAATAAAAAGCTGACGGGAGAAGTATTAGGGGTAATTTTGGAATAAACAATCGTGGCCGATGCCTTTGAACATTTTCCACTTGGTGTAGATGATCATGGTACTATTTTTATATGAGAAATCAAACACTTCTCAGTAAAAAGTAAATTAAGTAAATAGGTTGCAAATTATAAGGAGTGTTTTGTAAAATAAAAACTATCGAATATGATATAAAAAAAAAATATAATATTGGTAAAACTTCTGATCAATCAAGTAAAATCATAATTGAGTAAACAATCAGGTATTATTTATCAAAATTCATGGGTAAATTTTAATTAATCAAAACTCTTCTGATACCATATCTTTACCGCATTATAGATTTTCCTATTAGAATTAATATGACACAGAAACACAAGAAAAATAAGAAAGCATAGGGAAAAGATAATGCAATGGTGTTAATGAGGATATCGTAACGTATAAGGCGTGTGTGTTTCTTCTTAAATTATAATGGGATCGGTGGTGTAAATAAATTTAGTTGAATCATGCTTATTTTTGCCGTTTCGAATAGGATATTGGGTTGGTTACAGAACAAAAGATTCTTTTGCCTCTGTTCTTTTTGTCATCTACAGTAAGTTTAGAGTAATTAAGATATTTTGATTTAAATGGAAAGCAACGTCAAACCTACAAAATACCAGCCAATTCGTACCATGAGATCGATTAGTCAATAACTCTGAAGGTAGGTGTTCCATCTCCAAAGGAATACTATAAAAACCACCCAAATCGACCATGCAAAACAACAAAGGACTAATTTAATGAATACATCTAAATATTTAAAAGAAAGCACAGAAGAAAATTATGACAGATATATTAGCAATGAATATGAAGATTAATCCATGGATTTCCAAACCATGCAAATGCATGTATTGCAACGTGGATGGATGAGTGGTTGGGGATTTTAGGATTTACTAAGGTTTTTAAAACTGAATTGGACAACCGACCGTTTAGGGGTCTGGATTTCGGGTTGAATAGTTCAGTTGTTTGAATCAAATGGATGGCCCGTTTTGATAAAAAAATAAAAAATGGTCAAAATTATTGTTTAGGTCAACGATTCAAATGGTAAGATTACCCGAATCAATAATTCACTGACCAAATCAACAGTTTTTAGCTAAAAAATGAAATAATAACCGATTCCCAATTTTTCGGTCCGATTAACCGTCCCATCTGATTAGGTTTTGAAAACATTGGGATTTACGATGGAATTAAGGTGCAATGTGTTGAGTCCATGTCCACCATCTACGTATATCTCTCTCTCCAATTAAAATGAACAATGAAGGAATGAATTATAGGCACAGATCGATGGAGACTCATGGTGGGGGAATGCAGAGGAGTGGACTGAAACTCTGTACGTGAAAGAAACACCTACCGAATAGAGAGAGAGCGAGTGATTGTTAATTAATTAGTTAAGGGAAATTGTCTAAAACTCACTATGAGTTTTTAATATTTCTCTTAAATTCATCACAACTTTTCAAAATGTCTAAAATTTACCATATTACTAATTTGACATTAAACAAACTAATAAATATTAATATATTGCCATTTTAACCTTCATAGAAAAATATAAAATATATACAAAATAAATTAACGGGTGTTAATATATTATCATTTTAATATTTAGACGTGAAAAAAGGAAAAAGTTCAAAAAATATTTTTAAATATAAAATACATAAAACATAAAAATTACAAAAAATATAAAAAAAAAAATTATAGAAATTTCAAATAAAATAAAAAATTATTTTCAAATTATAGAAACTATAAAATTTGAAAAACAACATCACAAAATAAAAATTGTAGAAAAACACCAAAATTATAGAAAAACACAGAAATTGCAAATAAATAACAAAAAATACAGGAAAATTTATAGACTGCAGAAAATAGAAAATGTAAAAAAAAAAAACAGAAATTATAAAAAACATTGGAAATTATAACAAAACACTAAAAATGCAAAAAAAAAAACAAGAAAATTGAAAACTGAAAAAGACCATTTTCCTCTAACTCACAATTCAAGGTAGTTTGGTCATGAAAATTGTTATTTATGCTAACATGGGCACCTCTGTTAAAAAAGCATTAATGGTGCACTAACGGAATGTGAGTTTTGGAAAATAAAAACTTACTGACATGGTGAGTTTTAGACATTTTGAAAAGTTATGATGAGTTTAAGAGAAATGCTGAAAACTCATGGTGAGTTTTAGACAATTTCCAATTAGTTTAGAAATTGATCAAATGGACATTGGACTATTAGGTAGAAGAGCCAATATTTAGTTGATTAAGGGGTTTCAAGAATAGGGTGGTAATTTTCACCCAACCCGCCCATTTAAATGGGTTAGGTTGTGGATAACCATTGGGTTAACCATTATAGACATAAGTATTAATTTTTTAGCCTTTTTTTTAATTTTTTCATTTGAATTAAATAATTTATGATTAATGCATTAATTTTCTATTAATTATTGACTAAACTTAGTTTTGTCTTGAATCAACACACTTCACCCAACATAAATCCAAATAAATTTGACCTGAGTCTGGACCAGCTCAATGCGGTCTGACCCGATCCAGCATATACCAATCCCGGTCAACCCAAATCCAAAATAGGCTCAGACAGGATGGTTCGGTACCACTTGCTCTACCCGGTTTGGGTCACCCAGTCCAACTAGTATTCACACAGCCTAACCCGACCTAGTACAAGCCGATCCGAGTTGACCTGAATCCGAAACTTTTTGGGTGGAATGTTTCAACGTCCGCGTGTCTTGCCTGCTCCGGACTGTCCGCCTGACCAAGAGTCCACACAACCCAACCCAATTTACTTACATTGATCTGCTTTGGGTCAGTTGGTTCGGTCCCAAACCCGTGCACAAACCTAATATGATCCCGTCCAAGTCAATCCACCATTGATTGAACCGGCCCGATCCGACCCAAGCAGACTGATCCAGATCTAAACAGTTCAACCACCCTTGATGTGATTAGCTCGAAGATGATCCAATTAGATAGTTCAAGTTGGTCTGACCAATTTGAACCTAAGTGGTTCAGTCAAACCCGAAATCCGAACATAGTCAAATGACTTCGCCGCTTGTGTAAAAATAGCATGCATGTAATGTAATTTAAACCTTCACCACTTGTGTAAATAGTAACTACAATTACCACCAAGCTATGACCAATTTATTTGTTAGGAGAGAGTTAGTTTGTTTTTTAAGTCCATAAATATAAGATTAATGGGTTTGAGCGGGTTGGATTGTGTTAAAGCGGATTTGGGTTGAACCCAACCCATTTAATTTTATATAACTGGGTCATTAATGGGTTGGTGGGTTAGATGGATTGGGTTGAAGTTCAACCCAAACCAAACTCAACCCAACCCACCCAATTGACACCGCTAATATGGAGCCATCTCTATTTGCAAATTATAATAAGACACACGGCTACTTCACAGTTTCAGTTGCCAATTAACCTCTCTCT